ACCAAATAAAACTTGCGGTACTTTTGACGAATACAACAGAACGACACGGAACCGGTAGAGATGGCGAGAAACAGTGCAGCGAATACAGTCTGCCCCTTTCGACAGACATGTGCGTTTCCAGGCAGAAACTATTTTTTCCCGGAATTCGAAACCAGGACCTCTCTAACGCAACGTGTTCAAGCTTTAAATCACAGTGCCGGTCGTGCGGAGCTTCCATTAAATAACATCAAATCGTTACGAGAGCGATATAGCGTTATGAATAACGGAAAATCGTATGAATAATTCAATTTATGGTATCACCTCTGTATATTATGTGTTACTGCCTTTGAAGATCCGCTCGCAAATATTTAATGGCGAGGTTTGTATCAACGATACATTATAATATCTACTATTTATAACATACGAAATTGGAATTCCGTATATACTTGGTATGTCAGTGGATCTAGTTTGATTAACATAAGATGATTATTAACTTACACAAAGGTAAGCATGTACGTATATTTAAATAAAACACTTTAAATTTTAAATAAACACTAAAAAATATTTTTTTTTTTTTTAACTACGGCCCGACATGGTCACGGGCCGTAGTTAAAAATAATTTTCAAACAAGTTTAACTAAAATATATCGCGTTTTAAACCGTTAAAGTGTTTTATTAAAATGTATACTACACGCGTAAACTATATACTATATGTATATGTATATTTCACTTTCTTTCTTAACAGCCAGGCGTTTTTCGTATCCAGTTATTTTACCCGGGGTAGAAACATATTTATCTCCTTCGCAATGTGCTTTTTGTGCTTATAAGTATCATTCTTATATTTCTAAAAACTCTTTATCTAAGACGAGAGGTTAGTAATCAAAACGGATGCAAATATATGTCCGTATCGCGAGTGGACGACACTGGACTTCTCACACATTAATTATTTTGCTATCATTAATGACTTCTGAAATTATTATATTTACTCTGGATCACATTAAACGCATTCTTAGGTAATTCACTCAAATCATTGAGTTATAGAGATGGTCTAGATACAGATATATAAACAATATCTATTTGCAGTATATAATATTACCACACGTAATTAATTACCTAGTCTTACCCTGTCAATTTAAAAAATGTTACCTACCTCAAAATTATTTTATCGAGACGTTCAAGGTCTCGAAAAATTCTCGATCATCAATCAAAGTGTCCTATTTATTTCTCACCGCTTACAGATTTATTACACGTTCATCGCACTTTAAGGATATCCGATTTTTATCCCCTTGTTAGACCATAAACTAGAGTTCGGCAGGTCAACAAAACCATAGATTAAAAAAGAATGCTAATTGGCGGGAAAAAAGTATTGCGCAGATGTTAGAGCTGCTATTTTCCTCATACCGTACTTATATTATCATTTTTTTTCTTTATCAATCTGTATTACATAATATAATATAGAATTATATATGAGGCCGCTAGAGGCAGAGTAGCCTAACTGCCATTTTTATGACTTGAGTATTTATATTTTCATCGTCTAAAAAGTTAATCTACAAGAGCAACATGACCAAAAATTTTCCTAATTATTGAATATCATGTTTTTTGTTATTAGGCCACTCTGCCTCTAGCAGCCATGTAATATTTATATTATAATGTTTTTTTTAAACACAATATATTAATGTCTTCCGATTTAAGCCAACTTGCGCTAAAACAAAATGAACTGACGGAAAGGCGACTGCATGAAGAACAAAAGCTAGGGTAAAATAAAATTAATTAATCAACAGACTACGCCCAGTGTAACTTGCATTTATATAAACAGGACGAATGGGACAATAGCTTAGATGACATTGAGTAATTAAAGGAAACATTAATAAATATAAGTTATTCCTATAAAAGGAGATCTTTCTCTTTAGCTAGATAAGCACGATAATGTTAAAGACAAAGACATAATTTTGTAATTATAGGAGATTTTTTTTACTTATACGCGAAAAGAACGTAGTGATGGTGTACTAATATAATTATACCAAAGATATTCTTATATATTTCACATGTTATTGCACATGATGGCACTATATATATTAAAAATCGATTAAGTATATTTTTTAAATGTCTACAGCAAACGGCACACGATGTGGATGCCGGTTCTAGTCCTGCCAGAGTCATATTTTTTTTTCAACTTATAATCTATTTTTATTTTACATCGATATTTTAATTAAAAGTTACTCTAGGATCTGAGTTTCCTTGACCCTTCCTCGATAAATGTTCTAAGTAACAAAAGAATAATTTTGCAATTCCCACCAGTGGTTCGAACGAACAAACTTATGGTCACGAGGAGACCTCAGCTGCTGCAAAGCATCCGATACGTCAGGCCGAAGTTAAAAATCATTTTCAAATAAGTTAGTATAATATAGTTATAGTAATATAACCGTTTTAAACCGTTAAAGTGTTTTATTTAAATGTGTACTACTGGCGTAAACTATAGGCAGTATTTATATTTTCTGTTACAAAAAATTTCGCGATATATTTAATAGACGCCGAATTGCACCTTCGTCAAAGTAGATCGTAAATAACAATTTAATCTGTCATGATTCACCTTTTTCGAGCTATTCTTTGAACATTCACCTCTCCTAACAATACGTACAATGGTCAGACGAAAAAGAATTCGCACTTTTCAAATTAATGCCTTTATTACTTATCTCCGAATGAGTGGAATCCAATAACATTAAAGGCGAAGAATTGTATTAAGGATGAAAAAGAATAAAATTCCAGGGAAAGTTGTGCGATTATAATTTATTAATAATACAATATAACTATACATAACTATATAATTTATTAATAATGTAGAATGATAATATTGTAACATAGTGGCTAGAGCCAGAGTAACCTAACTGTCATTTTTATGGCTTGACTTGTTTATATTTTATAGTCTAAAAATCTACAAGAGCACAGTGACCTAAAATTGTTAACACAATTCTTAAACAAATAATAGAACAATTTTAGTTACGCCATCATTTTTATTTTCCTCCTTATTAAAAATCATGTTTTTTATTACGCCAGTCTGTCTCAGCCAGTCCCATTTTATGTCGTACCTATAGACTATAGGCTATAATTTTATGCAATACTGGCTTTACAGAGGTAGACAGTAGGTACCTATTTATTTTTATATTTCTTAAAATGAAAAATGCTTAGATAATATATAGTATGTTAATATTAGAATATTTTTCATATTACCAATAGTTACTTTTGGTACTGATCTGTATATTTTTATAAAATCTTAATAACGAGGTTGCTTTTATTTTAGTTTGTCATAGTAGTTGCCTTCGTATTCAATGGCATTCACGTAAAAGTATTTTTTAAAATTGTAAAAAAAAATGAATACGTACACGCGAATATGATCTAAAAACACACTGTTTTAAAGACAAGAAATATAAGTATTCCGTATATTTTATAAAACTATATTGTTTCAGTTTATTTGCATTCACTGTCCGTGTATTTTCAGATGTTATCAAATAATCAGTTTGAAAATATCCAATGAGAACAAAGAACAGTTTGGCCGGAGAAAGCAGTCAATTTTATCTGGAGCATTCAAGTTCAGACTTCGTGGCGACGATTCGTCCTTGACTATAAGCTGGCGACTCTCTGTCGGGGATTTTCTCGGACAGAATATAGACGCAGTAATATAGTTGAAATATTGACTAAATATATAAAAGGAAAACGTGACTGACTTGTCAAGTAAGTTAAGCCGACTGTCATGAAGTAATTTAATATTACAGTTAAATGAAAAGACATCATTTTTAACGGATTAAAATGAGAATTATATTAGTTTATTTTCAAACGAAAGTGTTTTTCTCCGAGCCATGTATATTTAGGTAGGCCATTAAAATTTGTGGGTCGCTCTAATGACTTCGTGATGGCTACACGAAACTGCTAGCCCATTTACGGCCAATAAAATGATTGGCTCCCTTCATTGTGTCAATTTAATTAAATTCTTGTTAGGTACAGGTACGAGAAAATAGACCACTAGAATGAGTCGCCAGTAGACTTTATTATCATTTATGTCAGAGTTTTTATGATCGCTTGAGGCTCGAAATTAGACCACAGATTACAAAAAATCTGCTTTGTTTTAATTTATCACACTATGCATTAAATACACAGGTAATGTAAGACGCTTCCGACGGTGTTTTCGATCGGGAATCTGTGGGCGGATAATAAGTTGTAATAAAGATATTTTATTTAAAAATTCAAGAATTAAATTTATAAAATACATAGGTATGTTAATATTCTCTTAACTGGTAGTTAAGTATATCCTATATCAACAACCCGCCATTAAGCTTTTGATTTGATTAAATTTCTTAACATAATATTATGTAAGATAGTACGTGATCTTATAATAACTGGTCCATGGAAAAAACTTAATTTTAATTGTGACTATTTTTATCCCAGGACTTTATATTTTTACAGGTTTATAAGAAAACCCAACCTGTAATTTTGTATTCAGTTTCAGTTTTCCTAAGGGTATTGTGAGGGTTTGAAAGGGTTTGTCTGCGGTCAGGCACCCTTCAAAATATTATGTACCCTTACATAATTTACTAAGATTTAGGGATTGGAACGAATGTATCCCCTTTTTAAAGCAAAAAGTAATAATAAAATTGTGATGTGACTCATATAGAATGAGTACCTACGCAAAATCCGATCTTAACAAATAGATGATATTTGTTACATTAGTAATTTTAAACAAGATTTTTTAATTAAACTGTATACTAGGATTTAAAAAATACTTCTCTATCTTAATAGAGGGCGCTCAAATAAAAGTTATTATTTATTCTGCCATCTGTACGTAACAAGAAGCATTTAAACCACAGACAAACATTATATAGAAGAATAGTGTGGTCTGTCACATCAACACGGCTTGAAACTGAACACTTTTTATTGATTATCTGTTTAATTTTGTCTATGGTGCCATCACATGACCCTTTATTTTGTCCCCGTGATCAATTTGAGAAATTTCAAAAATAATAACGCGCAATGGCTAAAATTCAGAACGTTGAAATAGAACTGCAAGAGAATTCTATAGACAGGTATATTTGTTTTCAAATATTCAGTTTCTGATTAAATATACGACAAATTACATAACTGCAATCGTGTAGTGCTAGTGAAGGTCAGCTTACAGGGATTTGGCAACGATAACCTGATTGTTTTCGTTTTGTTTGATTAACGCAAGTGTTTGTTACTATAAAACAATTCCTTACAGCGATGACGGTGAATTCTTGGGAATGGAAGAAGAACCACCTTTCGGTGAGTTAATAAACATGTTTGTTTACAACGCACTCGTCAGGACAATTTAATTATATTAGTATGGAATCAAGTGTTTTTATTGAATTATCGCATAACAAAGTAAATTTAATTATGTTCCAGGAAGTGTTGTCCATGATAGGCCCCAATTAGTGACACACTCGTATATAGACAGTAATGAAGATGAAAATAGTTCTTCATACAATTTCAGAGATCTAAGTAAGTGACTTTTCTACTATACAGATTATTATATGTTGTGGATAAATAAAGACCCTTTCTATGGAAATTTCTATCCAGTCTCCATAAATTATAATAATCAATTCCAAACTTAACAACATTTATATTTTATAAGACATACACAGAAAGAACCAGTACAAGTTAATAAACTTAGGCTTATCTTAATGTGACACAGAACAACAAAACTGTGTAAGAATGCTATCTATATTTATTTATGTGTAACAAGAAGCAAAAGCACTTGCTTTCTTACACACATACATGGCTAAACTGTATAGTATGGTAGAACAAGAGATCTTTTAGGATATTACTCACTAGGTATTATACTCATTTTATATTGACTAAATATTTATGTTTACCTAATCAATTTCCAGCTGGTTCTCTGACATATAAAATAGTTCAAGTAAAGGAGGAAATGCAAGCAAATAATATGGCTGCTAATTCACCGACACATGGTAAATATTTATTTCATATGTGATATTTAAGTGGTATTGTAATACTGAATTTTTTTATCTCAATATATTGACAACAATAGTTGTGTAAGAAGACCTCACTCAGACACGTCCTCATGCACCCAAATGAAATAGTCTACTTTATAATTTTAACTATAAGCATATATTTGATACGATCAAAATATGAGTGTATTTTACTCGGAGTAGAAGTCAGGGTCTCCGACACCTAATGGACCTAACACCCAGATGTAGAAGGAATTTAAATAGTGACTTTTTAATACTCTTACCAGAATACTTATTAAGCATCAATTAATTAGACTAAGCGATGCTATATAATTAGGTATTTAATTAATAAGTTAGGATTTTAAAATCATTTAACACAATTTAAGTGAGTGAAATACTGTTTTCCGAACCTGGGGCATGGGGTGAACACATTTTTGTGTTTGCTTCACTGATCCATTCTTCTGTTTGATTTCTTAACGCTTAACGCTATGTCAGGCAATATGGTTAACCATTGGGCTACAGAGGCAGTTATTTACCACAGTTAGACTTATAATAAATAAGATTTGTATAGTCAAATGTTTGATTAATGTACTTTGAAATTATTTCAGTTATCCCAACTGGAGAATTCTTTGTCATTAGTAATCCAGTGGAAGTGTTCGGCACTGAAGGTCAAAAGAAGACTATTAACAAACGTCAAAATTTGCAGGCCAAAGCTGTAACAGCTAAAAAGGTAATCTATTTCTACCTGTAATATGTTCGCTATGAATACTATCCAAATAAAAATAAACAGTTACTTTTTCAGTTTTATGAATACATAATAACAAAAATATTGTCATGTTTGTTTTTTTAATATACTATAATATATAATTAATAGAAAGATTAATATTTGAAATAATTTTTAGCGAGATGATAAGAGAAGAGCAACTCACAATGAAGTGGAAAGGAGGCGCAGAGACAAAATCAATAGTTGGATAACAAAAATAGCAGGAATGGTACCAAATTGTGGTCAGGCAGAGAGTGCTAGCAAAGGTGGTATACTCGCCAAAGCCTGTGACCATATTGCTGATCTCACAATGAAAGCAAATAAGTAAGTGTATTCTATAATTTTTAAAATAAACTTTACCTATTTGCTATACAAATATAGTTCTCATTGGATAAAAAGATATTACTGGATCTGAATTCCTTTTGAATACCTTAATTATTTTTCAAATGTTATTGCGCATGATAGGACTATATGTATTAATTAAAAATCGATAATAAATTGGAAAAATTATGGTAGTGGTGCATGTATCAATAGGTTGCAAAAATTTGCCAATGATGTGTAGGACTTGGTAGATCAATTGGTTAGAGCAACATTCAGAATGCTGTCGATGCCAGTTGCAGATGCAAGTCCTGCCCAAGTCGTTTTTTTTTTTTTCAATTTATAATTGATTTTTAATTTGACTCTTTGTTTCAACTAGTAGAAAAAAGCTTAAGACATCAAATTAATGCAAAATTTTATTAAAATAATAATTGGGTAAGAATCTATTGTTATATATAGCATTATTTGTTGTAGATTAGAAAAGGCTGAGAGAGATAATGCAAAACTAATACAAGAAGTGTTGCGGCTCAACCAAGAGTTATCAGAGTTGAGGAAAGAAAACTCATCAATGCGTAATCAGTTGGCTGACAATTGCATAGTAGCAAATTTACAGCGAGCTAAAGGACAGAGGTCCTAGGTGTTAATTGACTTTTCTATATTGGTGCTGAAGTGATAGTGTTGATTGACTTGATAGCAAATAATAGGTTTGTGTCCACAGCGTTGCCTCAAAATTTAACGAGGGTAGTTTTAAATACTAAAAAACACACCTTTGAGGGTACTTTATCAGCAGCTATACGAAACGCTCAAATCATTGGTTTAGCTTATTTAAAGAAATGTTTGCTTAATTTGTAAAACATTTTTTAAAATTATAATTGGGATCAAATTTGATTTGATAATCACCTACCTATTGTGAAATATAGATATATATATATAATATAAAGCTGTTAATGAAACCTTAAAAATTATGTTTAATAAACAATTTCCTTTATGTATAGGATTTAATTTTAATGTATTATTGGGATATATTATGGAAGTGTATAGTAGTTGTAGTGTAGGCCTTTATTATTTTATCAATACCTTACATGAAGGCTCTTTGATTTTAACAGCTCTATATTATATTTTATTTATCCATTTATCCTAAGTATTTTTTTAATGTTGCTGTCACATCATTAACATGAATTTATTGCCAGAACCACAATTCTCTATTTATAAGGATTGAATTATACGAAATAAGCCAAGAGCTTCATGTTGTGTTCAATAAATTATGGACACAAATATTTATATAGGGTAATTATTAATTATTGTAGTTTATAAAAGTCATGTTATATATTTAGTCTGTAATCATATTTTTCGTTTTTTTTTTATAAATCTTGTTTGGACAGTATTAAGTTACGAAATTATTTGAATGAATGAGTTTGGGTGATTCTTGTTGTTTTTGGAGTGCCAGAAAAAAATGATAGAAATTTTTTCGTGCAAATAACATGGCGCCATATTTTATGCGTTCAAAATGTTTAATATACACAAGATGTTGTTATTCTTATTTCTTTTTTAATTACTTTAAAAACATGATAAGGGAGTAAAAAGTAAAATAGTGCATGTTTCCTTTTAGATGATAGATTTGGAAAGTCAGCTGATAGTAAAGATTATTCAAAAACAAATTCTTAAAGACAATAATATACCAAAATCTTTGAGTATACAAATATTGTCAGTATAATAGAAAACTTGTTAAAATTATCTTTTTTTTTATTTTGGTATGAAGAGTATGTGGCGTGCGCATGACTTAGAGTCCGTAATGAACTACTAAGAGGCACTAATGTTGTATGATGTAGTTATTGTTAATTTTGTACATATTACTATAAAATCTATAAATTGTTTCATATCAGGCCCGATAGCACTGGAGTTTTGTGTCTTAAACGAATCTCAGTGGTATTGGGTGCAAGCGTTCATGAATTAAATTATATGACGTTGTAGACATGTTTTTTTTTATTTATATTTCCTTAAAAAATAAAGGGTTTAGTTGGAGGTTAAAAAATTTACATCATCCCAAATCATCGGACCATAGTTAAAATAGTCTCCAAATAACTTTAAATCATAAATATCGCGTTTTAAACCGTTTTATTTATTTTTATTTGATTTTTTATCGAAGGTATAATCTATGCACATTGTTAGTCTTAATGAACAGACAATAATTATTGCCACGCAATTTATTCAATTTCCACCCACTCTCTTAATTGGTCGGGGAAGGCGAGTTTCTCTTGCAGAATGAGACACTCCTTGGCGCGCGTTTGATGAGTCTTCAGGTTCACGTTCGTTGTAAACGTTTTATCACAAATGTTGCATTTGAAGGGCCTTTCACCTGAAATATAAAAATATTGTAGTTGACGCGAATATTACACATATCTAGTTTCAGCCGTTCGGTGTCCACTGCTGGACATAGGCCTCCCCCATAAACTTCCAGTACATTCGTTCGCTATTTGAATCCAGCGTTTTCGTGCTACCTTGATCAGATCGTCGGTGCACCTGGTCGCACGAGGTCGTCCAGGTTTTCGACATCCGGTACGTGGTCTTCACACCAGAACCTTTTTGCCCCAACGGCCGTCAGTTCTACGAGCGATGTGCCCAGCCCACTGCCACTTCAACTTGCCAAATCGATGGGCTATGTCAGTGACTTTAGTTTTTCTACGGATCTCCTCATTCCTGATACGATCACGCAGGTTAACTCCGAGCATAGCCCTTTCCATCGCACGCTGAGCGACGCGTAGTCTGTGCACCATGCTCGCGGTAGGAGACCATGTTTCGGTACCGTACGTCATCACTGGTAACACACCACTGGAGTACTTTAATTTCAAGGCACTGAGGTATACTGGTATTATACATAATATTATGACAGTTTAAAATTACGAGTGCGTAACTAAAAACTCATTATATTTTAAAAACTTGCACCACTCCAATTGAAGTAATTGTCGTTAAAAGAAAAATTACACAGGTAGCTTATAAAATAAAAAAAAATTACACAGGTCTGAGTACATTTTTTTTTAAATTTTACTTTTATTTAAATCCTCTCAAAAGTGAAAGAAAACTGCTTCCATATGATACACCACTTCACGTTTATCAGATTTAGATAATATGCTAGCTATGCCAGCGAATCGTTATTTTGGGCATCCAAATTCGTTTTTGCAAAGGTGAAGAACTTTATAAATTTAAGCACGACGTCGGTCGCAAGTCCGTTCGTCGTTCTTGCAAGTAAACCTTAAAAGATAGACATATAGCATCGCGGCCTTTTTTTAAGATCATTTATAGAGAAATCATTCTTTCATACATATTTTTTGGTTATTTGAACCGCTTTTGCAGCGTAGCGCTCCTATAAGTCACATGGCGATATTTTATAGCCTACCAACACTAAGATACATTTATTTAATTATCATTGTAAAATATATATTTAATTATAAGCAAAAGTAAATCCTTACCAGTGTGCGTTCTAATGTGTATATTGAGTACGTCGCGCCTGTTAAAAGACTTTTTACAGAAAGTACACTTAAATGGTTTTTCGCCGGTGTGAGTGCTGAAAGGAAAAAAAAAATATGTTTCAAAGTTCTATAGCCTTAACGTATAATTAGACTTGATTAAAATTTAAGGTAGCCGTAGAATTTAACTATCATTTAATTTAATTTTTGCGATGATTAAAAAATATCGACAACACAGGCGGGATTCAAATCCACGTTAAACGGTGGCATGACCAATCGTTCGAAGTACAACAGTCAACTTTATCTAAATATATTTTATGATAGCGACCGACCTATTTTAGCTTCGGATATTCGGCATTGTTGAATCTACATATAAGCTGAATGAATGAGTGCATATAAGAGAAATATCAATCTATTGCCCAACATTTTTGACATCCTTTACAGTCTCCCCGTGACCACGGCTGGTGCAAAGCATCTAAACGTCGTCATTTTTAAATAAGTATAACTAATATATCGCGTTTTAAACCGTTAAAGTGTTTTATTTAAATGTGTACTACTAATTACCGCATATGTAGTGTTAGATCAGTTTTCCTATAGAACCCGGAACCGCACTGCGCGCATTTGAAGCCATAGTCTTTGTTGTGACGGCGTAAATGTATTTGGTAGTTTGATGATGAGAAGGAACCACCACACAGTTCACACACGTGACTCTGGAAACGAGGTTAAACTCTGTTAGTGTTAGCAGAGAAGACTTATTTTTTTATGATAGAGAACAGACAGAAGGATCACTTGATGATTGCTGAACGACCCCAGCCATAAAATATCTAAGCAAGATGCGGTGTCAATCTAATGTGACTTTGGATATCCGGAAATCCAAAGACTGAAACCGAAACGCGATTGACCTTGACGGCTTTTTCATTTGTGGACAGTGGTTCGTAACCAACATTCCTACCACACATTTAATATCCACACTTCCAGACGTAGTCCTACATCTAGTATATAAAATTCTCGTGTCACAGTTTTCGTTGCCATACTCCTCCAAAACGGCTTGACCGATTTTGATGAAAATTTGCTTATCCGGTACCTATGAGAATCGGCCAACATCTATTTTTTATCCCCCTAAATTTTAGGGGTAGTCCACCCCTTAATTTTTGTTTTTTAGACAAAATTTTTAATTTCTTCCCTTCCCTTTTCTACCCTTCTACGATCAACCCTTATTTTTTAATAGCCGTTTTAGTAAATTATTTATATGGCAAAACAACGTTTGCTGGTTGGTAATTATATAATTTTTGATAACTATCCCGAGTTATGGAAAAACTTAATATGAAATGCTTTATTTGTCGGTATAACCTTCGTCTCACGTACTTTTCTTCGAGTTTTTTTTTTACTCATTAGGTACAAAGTGCGCAAATAATTCTATGTTGTATGTCTGTGGGCCGTTTCGGCGGTGTACATTTAAAATGACATTAGAATTGATACCTTTTCATTGGAGCTAGGCCTCTTAACGATAGCACCATTGTGGATTTGGTCATGCATGTCCAACTTAGCCTTTGTACTGAATATTAGCTTGCATTTATTGCAGGAAAATCCGTTGATTTTCTTCTGTAAAAATAACGTTTTTATATAAATTATAAATATAAACTTTAAAAATTTTTTTTTTCATCGCTCTAATGATAGTTATTTCCAAATAGTAGATATAAAGACAATGCACAAGTTATATCTATGAGGTACATTTAGTAAAACAGATATATAAATATGTATATAGAGTTAGAATGTATATTTTATTTATTTATTTATTTATTTAATTCTTCATTGCAACAAATACAAAGTATATATACATGATTCCTTAAAAATATTCTTAATAATACAATTTTTAAGATACATTATTCTAACCAGTTATATAGTGCAATGGGCGGCCTTATCGCTGTAGAGCGATCTCTTCCAGGCAACCCTTGAGTAAAATGAAATAAGTTATGTCATGGGAACGTGCAGGTCATGCGAAGCTTAACAATACACAAAAAATGAATATTATACACAACGAATTAAAATACAAAAAAAAAAAAAAAAAACACGAACTAGTTTTGTGGATGGGCTATAGACAAAAAATGCTTATAGAGGAGATGCTTAAAAGATGGCAGTGACGAGGCTAAGCGGATGGAGACAGGGAGCAAATTCCATAATCTTATCGCAGAGATCCTAAATGATTTTCCAAAAAGGGAAGTATTATGGGCAGGAACTTCTAGGATGAGTCTCTCGGAAGAACGTAGACTATAGTTGGAGGGGCACAGAAATTTGAAATCATTTTTTAGGTAGGAAGGAGTATTAGGATTGAAGAGAGCAGTGTATAAGAGGTGTAAGATATGAGCATCGCGCCGCAGTCGAATTGGAAGCCAACCGAGCTGCTGACGATAAACACTTACATGGTCATACTTTCTCAAGCCAAAAATAAATCTTATGCAAAAGTTTTGAAGGCGTTCTAGCTTATCTAACAGTTCTTCATTTAAATCTGAGGTACAGGCATCGGCGTAATCGAGTAAAGGCAGTAATAGGGATTGTGCTAGCATGGTTTTAGTACTGATTGGAAGGAAGTGGCTGAGACGTCTGAGGACGCTTGATGCGGCATACAATTTTTGACTAATGTTTTTAACATGTGGAACCCACGACAAGGTTCGGTCAAATGTTATACCTAAATTCCTTACAGTATGGCAAAATGGCATTGGTACACCTTCTATGGATACTAACGGTAACCGTGCCCAGTCGAGCCTTTTGATGTAATAAGAACTACCAAGGATAATAACTTGGCTCTTATCCGGATTTAATTTTAGACCACATTCTTTTCGATTTTCGAGCAATCGAGGACCTCTTCTCGCTCACATTGGCCGAACAGCCCGAAAAACAATGATATGCTGAACGATGGCCTTACGCAGTTTATTAGAGTTAGAATGTGTTTGCACCATGCTTTCGATATGGAGAATTCCTTACACTCACCATCATACACTTACCATGTGATTCTCAATGTGCTTCAAGAACCTAGATTTGCTCTGCCTAGTCTCCATTCCGCAGTAATTGCAAATCCTTAGAACACTGCTTTTTATTTTCGGCGTGATTATTTTTAATTTATGCATTTTGGTCATGTGTACTTTCAAATAGTGCACCTTTTCAAAAAACCTTTCGCATAATTTACATGCAACTGTATCTAAGCAATATTTGTTCTCCATTGGAGTGAGTGGTTTTTTGAAGATTTCTTCATCATTTTTAGCATTATCCGTGATTTGTTGTATTACATTATCTTTAACATAATGTTTAGCTGTTTTCTTTTTATTTCCATCACAACTTTCATTTGTTTCTCCTTGATTCTTATTGTTGCTAAGGTCATTAATTACTATCTGTGGTGTTCGCTTAATTCTTATAACAATCTTCTTGTCACTTTCCAGTATTTCCATATGTTTTATCGATGGTTTCTTAGTCACATCACAGGTTTCTTCACTCTGTGTAGAAATTTCCTCATCAGTTAAATCATCACCCATAACTTTGTTCTGTAAATCATAATGATCAATAATTTTAGGTTCCACTTGATCGTCATGTTCATGAGGGCAGTTCAAGTTGATAGTCGATTGATTATTTTCTAAGATATCAACATCATTTACTGACTTTTTCTTTTTAACACCTTCATGGTTGACATCTGCCTCTCGAGTAAAACCCTTAAGTATCAAAAATTCATCAAGCACATCAACCGTTCCCTTTACACCTTCATATGTTTCTATGGTGGTGCCAACTTTTGTAATATCATCATCGAGTTTATCACCAAACAAAATGTTGTTAATTGTTGGCGTAGATGGCTTCCATGCATTTGGTATCACTGATAACAAAAAATTATAGCTGTAAATTTTTAGTAGATACAAAATCACTTTACGAATGCATATAATTAAAGCAAAATATGAAGCAAATTTTAATGAAATTCAAACATTTTATCGATTTATGATAGACTAGCGACCCGCTCCGGCTTCGCTCGTGTGCAATGCTGATACTAAATACACTACAGAAAAACTGTGAATGTTGTATATAAAAACTTCCTTTTGAATCACTCTCTATTTAACAAAGCCGAATACACAGGGACAGAAAAAGCAGCTTTGTTTTATACTATGTAGTGATACTGAAGTAATTATAATTTATATTAAAATTAAGCTTTCCCAGGAGTCTCTACAGTAGATTACATTAAAGATTTAGAGCTCTACATAATAGAAATACCAACAAAGGTGCTGTATTTACAACTTACATGGAGGTGTAGCTAGTAAATCTTCTAGTGCAATTTTATCTGTACTCTCATCTAACAAAGCCTTGTCTAAATTCTTATCGATAACACATCTATTAGCTTGAACATTATCTTCTATATTAAACACTGGCACATGATTTGTAACTTCTGTATAATTTCCTTGATAATTTTCGTCTTGCATACAATCTGTTGTTTTTGATTTATCATAGTTAATAAGATTTTGGTATTGCAAGGGTAATGTGTAGCAGTGGTCATTGATAACTGATCGAGTTGTTGAACAGGGACTCAATCTGTAAAGAAGACAGATGAGAATAAAATTTCACATATATGATTCAATTGAATTTCATCTATATTAACATATAAGGCTGAAGAGTTTATTTGTTTGTATGTTTGAACACGCTAATATCAGAAACTAAGGGTTCGAATTGATATTTTTTTTGTATTCGTTGGAGCATTTATCGAGAAAGACTATAGGCTAAAAAACATCGCCCTGTGAACAATACAAGTAAATATACAGCGAGAAATGTGAAAAAATTGGGAAATTTATTAATCATTATGGGTTTCTGAGGTGTACCCTGCAAAAACGGTTCAAGACACCCAAAAATTATATTTGAAAGAATGATTCCTCTTCAAATGATCTAAAAAAGGTCACGCAATGGTATATATGTCTATCTTTTAAGATTAACTTGCAAGAGGGACGCGACGGACGTCGTGGGTAACAGCTTAAGTTTATAAAGATGAAGGGGTTTGCAAAAACGAACTTGGATGCCCAAAAGAAAATAATCTTAGCAGACAGAGTCGCTGAGATAGCTAGTTTATTATAAGGGACATTAATTTAAGACACTGATCCAAAGACTGCGGCCTGCCGGTCGAATGCTGGTGGGCTGACAGCATAAATAATACTCAAATGAGTAAATTATTTTTCAATTTTAATACATTATTATCAATTCTTTATAGTCTTTAATTTCTTATACTTCTGGTGGCCCATGATAATAGTTCATGATTTACCCAAGTAGCTCTATATTGTGGTACATTATGTTGTTTAACTTTAAGAACAGTTAAATGTGTTAAAAGACAAATATTATTAATTGTAAACAAAGATTTAATTGTATAGTCACTTAAATACAAGTTATTACCGCCTTACCCAAAATCAAATCTAAGATCTGATATTACTGAAGGTTCATCCTGAAGCCAATGCGATTCGAGGGAATCATCAGAAATGTCTGCTTCCTCCCTTATGACCTCACTCACAATACGAGCCACATTATCAGGTATCTCATTACCTGGCAGTAGGTCGTTTAGAAAATTGCGCATGCTTGTGGTTGAAACTGAAATTTATAATATAAAAACATTACTTTTAAAACTAAAATCCCCTTTGTAAATGAAACACTATTAACTTTAATAAAAATATTACAATATTTTTCAACTGCAGTAATGAATAATAAATACATTTTTATCAGGCATCGTCTATAGTCTACCAGAGTAGCACACATTCAATTTAACACAAAGTTTCAGACACTTTGCAACAGCTAAGGTCCTTGTGAACATATCTACATGTCATGTTTTAAACTGTTATTAGTGTTGAATTTAAATCATTCTTATTAATTTATCTTAATTCGAGATATCAGCCTTCTGTAAATATGATTTATCTTTAATGGACTCACCATTATCATCTTCTTTGTTCCGATTATAATTTGGTGTAGCAATGTGTTTATATTTTGGTGATCTGAAAAATATGATACTGTTTATCAGTACATAACAAAAATGACCAACCAATACTCTCTCAATACCAAGCCAAATACGTCTTCTCGTGTATAGAAAGTGAAAAAAAAACAAAAAGGTAATTAAAATAGTAATAATATACAAGATAAGACAGTGATCTACAAATACGAAAAAAAGGCTACAATCGTGAGTGTATATGCTAATATAAAGCTACAAGCTACCACTCTTTTAGCTACAAGGTAGCTAAAAGAGTGGTAACTATCTAACACCTTGACATTGTTTTAAGATAAATAATATATATCACCTGAATTTAAATGTTTCATCATGCCTTTTGATGAAATTGCTAAATGCACTAATATCGATGCTTTCCTCGACTTCCTTAGAATTTAAATAGCTTTTAAACTGCTTTTCGATGTTCCTACATGATTTCTTAAACTTGCATGCTATTCTCATATTAGAATGACACTCACGGCAGAGTTGGAACACCAAGAAGTCATCTTGTTTCACCTGAACACAATTAGGACAAAAACATAAACCACAGCATTAAAATACATTGTAATAGACTCTACAATTTAAAAACTGCTTATTTTTAAACCTTAATTCCAGTAGAATATTGAAAAAGCCTTCGATTCTTCTGAGAATACTTTAACGGATTACTGCACTTTGTTAAACAACTTCTACATATTCCTTCCATATCTTTATTACTGTGTTTTTCTAGGGGGGATAATATATCGTTCTATTTATTGTTAACTAAATATAATTGCCTTCGATTTCGATCGCCGGTAGTTCCATTCAAGTGCTATTGTTTTGTAAATACAGAATAATAACTAATAATTATGACAGTCTCAGTTTGATGACAATTGACTTTTTATAAATATTTCCTATATATCCTACAAAGAGTATAAATTTCAGAAAAAGAAACTAAAATACAACCATAGATTAAGCAAAATTGTGTCTAGTGTCATTAATTGTGACACTTCAATCTTTATTTGACATTCACTTTGTATTTATGTTTTTCAATACTATTACATACAAAGATTACAATTTACTTATCGTAGTATAAAATACAATGGAACGCTAAAAAGTAGTAATTAAGAAGTATACTTTTGTATCAAGATGGACTCACCTAATCAAGTTGAACTAACAATAAACAAACCAGTGAGAGTAATTCACTGTTGTGACGGAGTTGAGGAAGAAGTGGAAGAAACAATGAAAGATGTGGAAGTAGACAGTCCTTCAAAACAAGATGAAAATATAGATCCTGTGAGTTTTAATTCATCTTGAGCTTCCATTGTTTGTGAAGTGAAAAACTGTAGATATAGAGTTACTAGTGTCCCCTTTGCTATTTAAGTTCGTTTTTGGTCACTGTTAACAAAGGTGGTCAGCTCTTAATCCACCAGTTTTCTATCTAAACAGCCAGCTATTCAGCATTCTTAGTTTACTTAATGTATATTAAACATTTACACAGCATGCCAATACATTGTGAGTCATTTGATATTAATAGTGTTGAGTAACATATTTATAATACCACTCTAATATTATTTATACGTTGACAGTGGATCTTCTGTTAATTCTCCAAATATTTATCTCTGTAATCTCTCAAAATATTTAACTTTGATGTAATTAAACTCAAATGAAGAAGTGAAAAGCATGTCTTAGAATTAAATTTTTGGCCATATATTTACCACCCCATGTATGTCTTGGCTGTTGCCGCTTGTCTCAGGAGGAGAAATTGTTCAAAGGCTTTTTTAAGCTGTTTTGGCGGCTAGACTAAGGGTGCCCTGAGGGTGGTTCAACTCTAAGTCGTAGGCACCAAAGCACCGCTTTATCTCTTACCTCAGAAAATCAGGTTATAATAAAGTCACATATCAATGTTGTAAATCATTGCACCGACATTTATTGGTACATGTTCTCTTTACTTTATTAATTCTAAGTTAATCTTAGCTTATCTCATCCACTCAGATATAAAATAAATTTATTTTACAATAAAATTTACATTTAAAAAATACCATGCAATATTTAATTTCCAGAAAATGATGTCGTGGGGTCCATGGATTTCTTACTACACCTGGAAGTCTGGAACAAAATTATTAAATGCTGTAGATTATGCTGGCGAGTCATTAGCAGATTTCTTTGGCATAACAACACCTAAATACCAAATTGAGATTAGTGAATATGAGAGAATACAAGAAGAGAAGAAGAAGCTAGAAGAAGAGACCGCCGGTTGGGTCCCAAGAAATGGTGGTGGTGATATACCACTAGTTTTGAATGAGCCCATACCACTAAAACCGCAACTGGTTTAAAAAGATAATGATTAGATCATTATATTTGTACTTTATTATGGCTTTATGTGGCACTATTGCATTTTTATGTTAATTTTGATTGAATGATAATGCTTAGGATCTCTCCTAGATTTTACACTTTTATAATAAGACATATAGATACATTTAACATATAACTAAAATTACATATATGTATATATAAAATACTGTCTAAAGTTTACATCCTCCATCTTTAGTCTCCCCGTGACCACGGCTGCTGCAAAGCATCCGAAACGTCGGGCCGAAGTTAAAAATCATTTCCAAATAAGTTCAACTAATATATCGCGTTTTAAACCGTTAAAGTGTTTTATTTAAATATTTGAATTTTATGAATATTGTTTACTAAATAAAGTATTTGGTAATAAAATTGTCTTTTATTTACTATTTACTTAAGATATTTTTTATATTTATGCCATCTATTGGCAAGTAGAGAAATGCTAAATGAAGCTTACAAAAATAGAGGTATAAAAAGTTTTGCTATCCGTTACATAGATAGCGCTACTGTGTACGTGGTTTAAAATATCTTTATACATATTTACGTTTTAATCATACCTCTTTTGAACGTTTATATAGTGCTTTTTTGAATTGGAGTTCTTTTAAATACCTATTCCTATTACATGCGTATAAGCATACAAAGGTCAACATTGCCTATATGTCTAACCTTCTATGCCTATTCAGCAGTTTTTAAACTTAACGTATATTTGAACCTTACGCACTAATTACAATTAATATGATTGCATTTTAATTTTAGAACCTTACAATCCCGGTTATTCAAATTCAGTCCTTATCTTTAACACAACAAAGTGATATTTCGTATCTACACTGTGAGTAATAAATTATAGATAAACTCAATGGAAGAGAAGCCTAACAACCGTAACACACGATAACCTATTTTGCACTTTATACTTACAAATTAAGGTTCAAAATAGCGCAACTAGAAGTCACATATTATTGTTTGTCGGTGTTTAGCATGTGATATGTCGAAATGTAAACGGTGCGAGCTGTGTCCGCAGATCAATATGCGTGTTGCGCGAGGGTGTTTAGAGTCGTGCGATTGGCCGCCGTATGTGGGGCGGAGCTCGTATGTGAGGCGCGGTCTTGTGTCGAATTTTGGCGCGAAATTGCGCGTTCCATTTTCAAATCGAAGCTAAGGTTAATCATTACGGCGAGGTGTATTGATTGAGCTGGCTGTTGTTTTGTTTTTATTTTCCATAGACAATGCTAAAGAGGTGCATATAGTTTAGAACCAACGTAACGATACAAATAATATTATTAAATGCATTTAGGTAATATATTCAACTGAAAAACACTCTACATCTATACGTGGGTTTATATTTAATTTGAGGACACTTTTATATGAAACAAAACTGCATTCCCATTACTAAAAAACTAAGTATCTACTTACCCAAGTCTGTTTAAATTAAAATGAGTGTTATACAAATATGTTTAATTAATTTGATCTTACTTGTCTGCATTCTTAGATTGTTTTAATTCTATAAGAAACTTATCATTACATTTGATATTGATTTAACTACTCACCTAGATACTCGAGCTATTTATGTTTTTATGATATAGTTTTTTCCTAAAATAATTACCTAAGGTAAAAAATAGTTCACACAAAACTTTTGCCGATGTAAGTATAAATATACTTACATACCTATTTAAGAAAAAGTGTAGGACATAACTTTAACTAAGTATTCTCAAATACAGAAGAGGCAAAACAATCGTCGTATCCTTTCTTATAATACCCATATCATATAAGACCAATTGGGGTATTAATAAATTGAAGACAAATAGATGGTTATACTAAATGTAACAAAATATTTAAAGTATCACTAGGTTTATCCAGAGACTAATAAAAACCTCGTTCACTAATAAATCAATTCGTACCCAGCAATAATTTACAGCCTACCCACCATAATTATTAACCAATTCAATAATTCGTTAACAGCGCGGGTCATTCCGGACAATGTATTTACAAAACATGTCGTGTCCGGCGCCATTACAACACCGGTGTTGCCAGAATGCGCTATAAATTTCCCTCCCTTAAAATAAAATAAAATTGGCGAATAAACTTCGCGTGGTGAGACTGGTTTTGTTTGAATGAACAAGTAATACGGGTTTAGAATTTCGCGTAACGCATTGTTCGATCCAGTTTAAAGTTGTTTCCAAATGAATGTTTGCAATTTGGACTATTGATTCATAATCAAAGCGTGTGCCTAATTTTAAACTGGACAGGCGTGAACTGCTGTAACGATTAACATTAAATCAGAATTCTTATGTAGTATGTTAAATTTTAACACTTGGTGTAGTAGTTACACGTAACACTCCGGTCTCCGACTATACATAGTTTGAACCCAAAAGATGAAGTTCTTTACCTCGTACGTTGAAAAGCATCTTAAGCCAAAAACTGGCTATCAGCATTTATGTTACTGTAGCCGTTAAACCCTCACAGTAGCAGCAGGTCGGCAAATCCTAGAATTTTCTTTCTCACTGTCACCAGCTGCCAAATGAAATATTATTAGTGTTTTGTTTTTGTCTCTTCACATTATGAGACTCTGCGGGTTGTAATTCATATAGACACAGATATTCAAAGACATAACAGAAGTATCTAAAAGTCAATAAATAATTACCTAGTTATCAAATAATCTAATAAGTACTTGTTGTTTCATAAAGTCGCTAAGCCCGACTCAAAATCCAATAACTAATTGTTTTATTCCTTATTTTAAATTAACTTAACAATATGAAAATATATACTAAGACATATCGAAAATAAATCATACGTTAACATATTATTTCAATATTGTAATGATCTTATTACAAAATGGTGAAATATAACCGACAGATAATAATAATCTAAAATATTGCAAATCGATACTGTCCCGATTCTATTATTATCTATGCTTAGGTGAGGCCTACGGTATTTGAATTTCGAATGCAATATTCAGATTTCGCAATCGTTCAATAACGTCCGAACGGCAGATGTTCTATTTTTAACTTCGCAATGTTGTTTATTAAAAAAATCTTTTGTGGCCATTTAAAAAGTAAAACTTTCACAATGCGCCATGCAAATTAGATGCAAATCAAAGGGTACATGCGAACAAACAAGTGTATGCCAATTTAATCGTTGCAACAAAGAAATAGTTGTTACATTCGCGTGGCGAAATTTCTAATGCAAATATTTTTCTTCATTTACGCTGTAGAGTTTTGGACTTTATCATAAAGCAATAAAGAATAAAATCGATTGGTGTAGTAAAAATTTGCATAACGCACACCTTTCGTTGATCCGATGGTTTGAGTGACAGGGTTTACGTTGAATGAAATTTAAATCTGTTAGGTAGCTTACCTATGTATATACTTCCGTTATGTATATCCTATGTCGAGATTTAATCATTCATTAGCAGCAATAAATACTTCTCACTGTATCCTTAGTTTAGTAGAGTTTTTCAGTTGCGTATATTCGTTCTTCGTTATAAGCGTTCCAACACTCTTCTTTTACGAAATAGTTTCATACCTAGGTAGGTACTTAGTTAATAAGTAGAAGAGAAGCCAAGACTATTAAATTACGTCTCTGATCGTTGTAAAATTGTATTAATTAACCAATTTGGTGGTAATAATTATCTACTGAATAAGTAGTTTGTGTTTCTTGAAAGTTTTGTCTTTTTGTCGAAGGAAGAATCTAGATTGAATATTGGGGAAAGTGGCATTATAATGTACCTATATATAATTTGTAACATATAGCATATATAACAAATAATGTTTACAAAATATTGTTTTATACTTAGTATGTACAATTTATTCATCTAAATCCTGCGCAGATCTGCAAGCCAAACGTTGCATTGTTTGCAAACCTTAAAGTTCTCTGTTTATGCAAATTTCGCCCATTGATTTATATCCCGTAACAGTTGAATGGGGGAACACTTCCGGTGCAATAGATTTCCTTTTATTAATAACTGTTGTTATTAATGGGGTAAACTCGTATGCAAAACAGCGAGGCACGGACGCGCTATAAATCCGCCATTGTTATGCGAAATTCAAAAATCGAATATCGATTTAAATAAAGACTGTTTAACAGATTTGAATATGGAATGCGTTACAGACGCTGAATATTATTTTTCTTCTGGATCTGCAGTAAATATAAAGATATGCTACAAAAAATATACAACAAACATAATACCTGTAAGTACTTAAACTTACAATTTTATAATTTCGTATTTTTATTTTGAAATAGAGTAGGTAAATAAGATGATAAATCAAGTATACATTTTTTTAAATAAAACACTTTAACGGTTTAAAACGTGATATATTAGTTAAACTTATTTGAAAATGATTTTTAACTTCAGCCCGACGTTTGCGTATATACATTTTTTGTTAGAAAACGAGGAAAACACAACTATGACATTGTTAAGAGTTTTCACTGTTTCTAAAATATACAAATGTGCGCATACGACGAATACAATTCACGCTCCATAATAACAATATGCGATGCGGAACTTTTTGGAGCGTAGTACATAAAACCGGTTTGCCACATAAAAAAATTGCAAACCGGTCACCCCATAATGCATACACTTAAGATCTAATACGTGGACAATACTGGGCAGTGGCCAGCACAATAGTGTACGTACCGATTAATTCGCTACACAATGACCGGGGGGGTTTGGGGTCCGGAGAGGTCATATTTAGGTAGATGGGTCAAGGGTCAGTGAGTTGGTAAATAGCGTCCTTTCGATTCCAGGGGGAGTGACCGCGGTAGCGGAGTTTCAAAACATTCGTCTACTAAGGGTTGGAATTTATGATGTGGAAAATACGTATGCAAAAATGTGTTTGTCTATCATATTTATTCTTCTTAAACAATAATATTCTTCAACTAGTTTAAATTTTTATTCATTAAACTTATTTGTAAATAATATCACTATGAATTAAAAAACTCTCAGTTTGAAAAATTTGACGACCCGAGCGGGACTTGAACTGGCATCCACTGC